AGTTCGAATCCGGATTACGTATTAAGGCCGGAGCCCGTCGGCGAGCTCAGCCCGTCAGTCCCGAGCTGCGTGCTCGTCCCCAGGCTGTAAGTACATGGTGAATTTAGCGAGGGTTGAAAATGCAGCGATGTTGGCGTTGAGAAGGATATCTAAGTTGCTCGGGCGGGATTAGTAACATTCTGTAGAGTGAGAAGTGCAAGGAGTACAACGTGTAGGAATAGTGCGGTAGTGACCGAGGTGAAACGCCAGGCTGGGTCTCAGTGACATAAACACTTTAAAATAGGCTGCCGAGAGTAGGAATTGAGTTGTTTGTGCTTTGAATAATGAAGGGCACAGGTAGATGCTTTCTAAGCTTTCATGAATTTCCCCCTTTTTGCCATCCAGGTAGCTTTGTTATCTAGGTGTTGTCTGACATAATTTAGGTCAAGCATAAGAGGAAAGATTGAGAATATTGCATAGAGGTATCTGTGTTTTGATGAAGCTAGGTAATTAACCAGATGTAGAGATAATTGACACTCATGGTGATCATGTAACCAGATTTAGGCCCTCGGTATTACTTAAAGCTATGGAGATTACAACTCCTGCTATGGTAGATCACATTGGGAACCAAGCTGGATTTTATTTGTAATTCATGGTCCTGGCTATGAAAAACTTTGTATGCACTTAACATTACTCAACATTACTCATTTAAAGCAAAAAAGTTTTAAATTATAGTACCTAGAGGTAAAAGGCCACTGAACTAGCCCAACCTAGACACTATAAAGAAATCATTGATACTACGTATGTTATCCTGATGGGACTGTTAATATAAACTGGTATGGGGGTTGGATCAGCTGTGTACAGCCCAGACATCGGATCAGAGTATCTAGTTGGGGCTGAGCAGGAGCTCCTGTGCTCAGAGTAGTCCCAGGAAATGTAGTGTGCCATGGGCATCCACACCTGGTGTGCAGTGAGCCCAGACCTGCTCTGTATTAGCTGCCGTTTTCCATGTATGTGCCCAAGTAGTAGCTGAAGCCTCCAAACTTCTTTAGATGGCCCAGATAGTACTTGAAAAAAGATGCTTCCTTCTACATAGAATGCAGGTTGCTTCCTGTCTGTAATACTGTCTCCTGCAAATATGAGGACTAGAATAATATAGCATGTACTTCTTAAAAATGCATTTTCTGGTTTTTGATCATATGGTCTTCTTAACATCTGTCTGGGTTGTTCTTATCCCTCTACTGACATTTTTTTTTAACAGTATGATTATTCTTCAGCCTCTGTTTTTAATTCATGTGCTATAATGCTGCACTCTTTTATTTATAACAGTTTTTGATGCCAGAAGAACACAATCAAAGTATAATGGCAGTTGATGAACTTCAAGCCATAATACAAAGATGTGTAAGTAGTTTTCTCTCCTTAAAAGTAACACGTGTAAGCAACGTGCATTTCTCTTCATATATTGTAATTAGCACCAAAATGACCTCCAAACACACAACAGTTTTTAGCAAAACTCCTCATTGGGCAAGTAACTTCTCTGCAGTGCTTATCCCAAGATGCTTGATAGCTACTGCTTCGTGGAGAGAGAAGTATTCTTGTACCCAGGAACAAAAGGAGGTTGTTGTAGAAAATACATATGCCAAACAGCATGCTGTAGTCTAGATTTAGAAAGTGCTATTGAAATACTGCTTTGTCTTCTGAAGTAACTCTTGATAGCTTTTTCAGTATGTGAAAAATGTACATAAAGTAAGTTAGAATCATGCTACATTTACTTTTGAAATGACAGCATGGATTTGCTTATTATTTGACTTTTATAAGTATAGAGTTACACATCCATATTTTCTTTCTAGCAAATTCTGGAAGAAGCTGACTTCAAAGGAGAAGATTTTAATCTGTTTCAGGTAGCAGGTCAGAAATGTTTAGAAGATGGATATGCAGCTCAATTATTGGAAGTAATTCAAAATGAGAAAAACAAGGTGAGTTTAGTTTGTGCTGTATATTAGTTGTGCACTAACACCATTAAATAGATAATACTGCTTATTAAGAAGGAAAAGCTGTATATAATGGCTAATAAGTTGCTCTGTGTAAAGTGCACAATATTCTCGAACTTCAGGTAGCTCACAGAAACTCAAATCATGCTAATCTTAACAAAACCATTAATAACTGTTTTGCAGTGAGCGAAGCAAAGAGAAAAGGAAGGCCAAAGGGAGAATAAGGAGAAAGGGACAGTGTCCCTGTGCAGGGATTTCAGATGGTGCACTGAGTCAGGCTGGCATGGAGTTGATTTTCTTCATGACAGCCTGTATGGTGCTGTGGTTTTGATTTGTGACTAAACCAGTGTTGATAATTTACTAGTGTTTCAGCTATTGCTGATCAGTGCTTGCACAGCATCAAGGCCTTCTCTGTTTCTCACTCTGCCAGTTCAGTAAGCAGAGAAGTTGGGAAGAGGACACAGCTGGGACAGCTGACCCAAACTGATGTGATATTCCATATAACATGCTCAGCAGTAGAAACACATGGGGATGGGGACCCATTCCAAAGCAGCTGTTGCTTGGAGACTGGCTGGGCATTGGTCTGCTGGCAGGAGTTGGTTTGTGTTATTCCCCATCATGCCCTGCTATCTTCTGTCTTTTACTTATTAAATTGTCCTTATCCCATCTCAGGAGTTATTCTCTGTTTTGCTCTTCTAACTCCTGCCCTCATTCCACTGGAGCAAGTATCTGATGGGTGCTTAGTTGCTATCTGGGGTCAACCCACCCCAGATGGATATAATAATATTGGACAAAACTGTAAGAGCCACCTAAGCTGATACTAATTTAAGAGTTACTAATGTCTGTGGGCACTTGGGGAGCTGGGAGGATATACCAAATTGTACAGAGATAAATAGGAAGTTCAGAAAGAAAGTGAAGGATGGAATATTTTAGCAGTGTTACATGGGATTCACAGTCTGGTTTTAAATTTTTGAATTCGGACTAACAACTGAAGATCTTGATCCCCTCAGGCTGAGTGTAATTTATCCAAGCTTTCTTTCAGCAAAACTCCTCTACTCAGTCATGTGTTATGTGATAGACATTTTTAGAAGGATATATTGGCATGTTAATAAATTGAAGAACAAAATATGCAGCTGTGTTTATAGGTATGGGTGAGAATACAATGTATGTCAAATACACAACTTTATGGTAATGGTTGTTACATTTTCAATGACAGTAACTGTTATGGTGTTGGTTTCAACCAGAATATTGATCTGTTTTCTCTTTTGGTCTTTATATATACAATCTTTGTGGGTTTAGAAGAGGTCCAGTTTTGGTTTATTTTCTGAAAATCTGGTTTTTAGGTTATCATCAAGAACATGGGTTGGAATCTCATCTCTCCTCTTGTTAGATGTATTTTCATGTATAAACAAGATGATGATAGGCGAGAACTCTGCCTGAGGATACTAGATCAGTTGGCACAGGTATGTTTTTGAAATATATGATCATAATACAAAAATTGTAGGGGAGGGAGAGGTTCTGATTTCTCCCCTGATTTCCAAAAAAAACAATGCATGAATATTTCTGGCTTCTTCTGTCCATTTCCCATAACTTTTAAAGTCAGGGGCCAGTTTCACCTGAAGTAGGCATAGGCTTACTGTTCTCAGAGATAATTAACCTCTTACACATCTGAAATTAGTGACTGGGCAAACCAGAGACACAACATTACCCAGAAGAAATCAGCAGATAGAAGTTGTGAAGTCTGTGGTAGCCAGCTGCTGCAGGCAGAGCAGCCACAGCCAAACTGCCACTTGTCTACTGCAGATACAGTATTGTTGTCCCTGAAAAGTGGGATCTTTCACTCATTATGCAAAGCCAAAAGACACACAGTGTGGAGGGATTTGATTTAATTGCAGTTCTGTGCAGAAAGGAGTGCTAGGTGGTTAATCCACAAAGCTAGCACACCTAAGGCCAAATATACAAACATATTTATACAATTCCTTTCGGACAATATTTGCATAATGAATCTACATCACTGCTTGGATAAGCTGCTCTTAGCTTAACGTTCTCTGGCCTCGATTTAAAGGTACAGTGTATTCTAAATTCACGGTGCATGCTCAGTGGGTAGGGCTCTTTGTTTGGAGGCTCTTTGTTTGGAGGAGAGCTTCAGGGGTATGGTTTTCACATTGTAATGAGCTAAGTTCATCTAAAGGACACGAAGTTAGCTCAGTTAGCTAACTTGAGTAAAACTTACAGTACACTACTAAACGTGGTTTCTAGTATCTAATTCAAGTTCTCTCTGTTCATTTTTTCTCCTTACTTGTTTCAAAATCATTCTGCAAGACCTTGCCATTTTCCACTGATCTGAGTCTGAATATTGTTCTCTTTTCTATGATTCACTCTGCAAAATCTTTTCCTTAAACCATTTGTCCTTCTTCAGTATGACAGTGGTTACCTGATGATTCTGGTGGAGTAGTAGGGGAAAAAGGTTTTTCTTTCATTCATGCACTTTAAAAACAACTTGCAAACTTTATAGCCTGAGTTAAATTCACACTCAAGTTCTTCTTTGTTCCTAAGGATTACTTTGCAAAGGTACTTTGAGGTTTTAATAGACCACAGAAATCAAGCTTAGTGTCAGTTTCATTATTGTATATTTTCAGCTCATATGGAAGTGTACACACACGCACACCACGCACACACTCTACAGAAGACATTAACTGTAGGCAAGTACTTATCATTTCATATTTGTTTTCTTGAATATTATCTTGGATGTTCAGATCTGCTCTATGAACATTCACGTTTGCTTGTGATTAGTTTTTTAGTTTATGACCATGGTTATTAAAAAACATTCACTGTTACTCTCTTGCAGCTATGCAATCCAAAGGAGCTTTTTTTGGGTTTACTTGAGCAGATTGAGCAGACCTCTGGAGAGCAAGTGTGCCAAACTGTCATGTTATTGCTTCAGCCTTTGCAGACAGGTAAGATTCAGTTTATCGTGCAATTTCTGAATTAAATTATTTTCTCATTTATTTATCAGTTTAGTTCAGCCTTTACTGGAATGGTTTCAGAATACATCTGTCCTGACAAGCTTTATAGTCTATTATATTCTGCAAAATAACATAAGGCAAAACCTTCATGCTTATATTGTCCTGTTAGAAAAATATTTCAGATGGGATTAATATCTTCAGTTGAAAAAGCAATATTTGGCTATTTTTCATCATTTACAAGGACAGGTCCTGCAACAGTTAGATCTGGAGGTGAAAAGCACTCATGCTGTTATTACAGAAATAGAAAATTACATGGATTTGTGAAATTTGGGTAGTAAATGAGTTTTCCAGGTCAGGTAAATTGAGTATTATTTCACTTAGCATAGTTCTAGAAATGCATATTTTTTCAGTCCTCATCATGATGCTACAGAGAAAGGAAGGGTGTTGAAATGCCTGACCATTTTAATAATTGTTAGTGGCAAATATGTGGTCATCTTAACTGCAGCTACATGAAGCTAACTGGTGATGGTTAGTCTTGCAGGACTTGCTTTGGGTATCAGTCCCTCCCCTGTCCTGAAACTAAAGGCTTTAATATAAAGTTGCATTTCTTTTTCTCCACATTTTCATCTACTAAGTAAGTAATAACTTGATATCTCAAAATGTTCTTTCTCTCTTTTCCCTTTTTTTTTCTTTCCCCCAGTGCTTTTGAAACTTCAGAACAAGAAGGCCTACTCAGTGGGTTTGTCTTTGGCCATGATTATGAACCAACTTACTCCCTTACCTGTACCTTATACAAAACAACAAATACAAGAAGATAAACTTGGTCTCTGTCAATGTTGTAATGCAGTGGTGGACTTTGCTAAACCTTTTGTGAATGAAGTTGTTAAAAACATGGAAAAGTCATCAGAATACAATGACATGGAGCTGAAAGAAGAATTAGTAAAATTGTGAGCATTTTATGTCAGTGTAATACATAGCTATAACTTAACACAATGAACAGTAGGCAGTAAATAGGCAGTAAATGAATCACCTTCTAGTGTTTTACAGTGCTGCCAACTTATACTAACTAATGTGGTGTTTTGAAAAATAAGAACAACCCCTAAATATGCCTCACGTATTTATGAAGTGAGAGAAGAAAGGTAAAAACTTAGGTAAAATTTTTTAGTACAGGGAAGTGGTAAAGAACTATTAGCTGCTGTGCTGTGAAGCTGATTTGGTATTTCTCTGCTTCTCAAATTTACAGCAGTGAGGATAATGAGTCTGGAGGTGAAGTCTAAGGAATGCTTCTACAGGGAACGTTGGGGGTTTTTTTACTCTCCTTGGAATATCAGGAATAGGAGCAGCTAGTATGAGTACAGACTTCATTCATGGTCATCAATGACACTATGGTAATCCGTACTTTGACCATGTTGTGATTTAGTTTCATCCCTTTTCATTTCAGCTGTATGAAAAGCCTGAAATACCCATTATTGACAGCTCAGCTTGAACAACTCGAAGGCATTGAGGACCATCCCTTTCGGCAGTTTGCAACTGAAATTATAGTAAGTTCAGTCCAAATTAATTACAGTGTTTGCAAAGCCAGTGGCCTAGTTCAGAATTACCTGTAATTTGTTCCAGAGCTTATTTTACTTCCTTTATTGGTTAGTGGGGTGATTACTGGGCCTTGTAAGATAATGCAGCTAAAGTTCTAGAACAGGTCCAGGTACCATCTGTGGAAATCACAAATCTTGCAAACATAGTTTTGCTCCTTGATAAACAAGTTTGGACTGCTCTCTGAATCAGCAGCTGCAACACTGCTGTAGCTGCTTCTTTTTCTTGGCAATGTATGGATCATCTTTCCTGCAGTATTTTGTCAAGGTAAAAATCTACATTACCATTAATCCAAGTGTTGCACAGAGAGAAATCTCTAAAGTGCCTAGTGCAGTGCCAGCTGACTATTAAAGAATAAAAATTGATGCTTGACTGCTGCTGATGCTATAGCTGGAAATTCAGTGGAACAGGTCTATTCCATGCTATCAATGTAGTTACTCTGGTTTTGAATGTTTTACTTAGTGGCTGTATTTTATTAGAGCAAGATTAATGTGGGTAAAGGTAATTTTATTTAAATCTGCAGCAAAACAAAGCCTTTAAGGAGATAGTTGGGTACAATCCATGCATATGTTGGAGCATAGAACGTGTGTATATTTTCAGAAATAGGAATAGATGCGATTAATAAAGTTACAGCTTGTAGAGCTGTGCTTTGCTCACATTTTGAATGTGGTAAAGAATATTTCCTCTCTTGCACATGTCTAAATGTAGTAGTTTGACCCCAGCTGGCAGCTAAGCCCCCACCCAGGCACTCACTTCTGTCCCCCAGCAGAATGGGGAAGAGAGTCTGAAGGGCAAAAGTGAGAAAAACTCAGGGGTTGGGAAAAAGACAATTTGATGAAACTCTGTTAAGGAGTTAGTTGGGGGAGAGAATGACACACTGAAACATGATGAGCTCCAGAAGGAAGAGTAGGAGCCAGCTGGGTTGAGGAAGCGCACACAAATATGATGCACATGTGCAAATATACATGCACACAGAGGAAGTCTGGACATTGCCATCTGAGGCAGCTAGGTTTCTTCTCCAATTTATATTTAAAATTCTAAGCATTTTTTGCACAAAATTCTATATTCAGATGTTAAGATTGTAAAGTGAAGCACACAAAGCAGTTAGCAAAGCTTTTGGTTGTCTTTCAATAATAATTGGGTTTTCTATCATGATCACATTCATTGTTTTTTCCACAACATGTCTCAGCATAGGATGGAAACTGCTGTGTGGATCAGTCAGGTTGCACAATGACAGGATCTTGTCTCTGAGACCTGTAATTCCTTCATTGCAGGACTTTCAGGGTGTGCAGGAAGGGGGCAGGGATTACCACAAGATGATAGTTGAAAGGTGCTCTGAAAAACTGGCTTTTTGTCCTGCCTTTCCTGCTGGGCACAGTCTGAAACCATGTTTTAATGCCAATTATAATTTACCTATTCTTCACTTTCTCAAGAAATTTACTTCTGCTGTTTATGGCATTCAGTAGTGAGAGGCAAAGCTAAGGCCAGTAAGTCATGCTTTGAGTATGTGACATCTTGTGTAATGACCATTTTTCCAGAATGTGAGATCCTGGATGTTCAGTTTGGACAATTCCGGAGTAGTTAGCTAACCTTAATCTTGCTGTTTGTTCCTAATACATATGACAGGAGTTACACAACCTCCTCATGGATGGGAAGGGGCAGGAGGGTAGCTGCACTAGTGTTGGTGAGGTACAGATGTCAGGTGTCCTTGTGTTGTGCATTGTGGGAAAGACAGGCCATACAGGGTGATTCTGACTTTAAAGCAGGGCTTGCCTTTAGCAATACACGTTGTGTTGCACATTGATTAGTGAGCAGAAAACAAAATACTGAGTATTCTGTGATCTGAAGGACACAGAGGTCCTGTGGCTTAATGTGATTGTGAGCCTATTGTTGTTTGTAGCACTGGGGATGAGGGAGCTGAACTAGGAGTTTGCAGGGTGACTTTATTTTGTCTTCTGCAAATTTTTGAGTGCTTGACTTTGCTATTTTAGTAACATTTTGCTAACAGTTGTTATTTTTCCTGCAGGGTCTTTTTTTTTGGTGTATATGTGTAAATATCATAAATATCACATTTCTATTAATTTATACTTAGACTGTGTAAGAGAATGTTCTGTAAATCCAATTAAAGCTTTGACACTTAGTTGGTATACAGGTATTTCAAAGGCAACTATAGGCAATCTGTCTTTTTTTTTTTTGTTTTTAAGGACATTTTGTGGAATATAAGAGAATTGATACCGTTAGTGTTTTTACATCCTAAAGCCAAAAGTTCAGACTGGGAGGATCAGGAGTTTGCAGACATAGAACAAAAGAATTCTGCAGAATCTTTGGCATGTCTGTCTTACCTGATGTTTGTTCAGCATTTTGGTATTGAGTGCTTTCCAATGGTGTTTAGGTAAGAATTATTCTTTCTCACTTATTCTACGTCTGTACTTTGAAGATTCTGAGCAGAAGAGAACTTTATTTGGGAATAGTTATGAATGCAAACTGTGTATTTCACTAGTATTAATTTTATGTCAGCCTTTGTGCATTTTTTTTGATGTAGCTTATGTCTGTAAGAACATACTCCTGCAGATTACTTTATTATGGTTTAATTTACATGAACTGTCCTTTTCAAAAAAACTGGCATGATTAGTCACATGTTGAAAATTAATGTGCACTAAATTTTCAATGACATATTTATAGATAGTTTCCATGTAAGAGTTATCATCAACAATTTGACTTACACTTTTTTGTCTATTTCAAAATCACTAATTTTAGAGACATATTTTAATTTTGCAAAAAATACTAGTCCTGTTAAATACATTAATGATATGCAAATGTATATGGCTTATGCAGTTTAATGTAACCTAAGTGTTTTTTTTTCAGTCCCTCTTACCTTCTGCAATGCAACATGAGCCATGTTGAGGTGCTGCTGAAAAGGTAAGGTTTGTGGGGTTTGCAGCTGTAGGTAGTGGGTGTGATCATTTATAGTCATACATAGCATCAAATTGCAGATATACCAGGTAGGTTCAGAAGAGGTTTTTAAACCTGAGCATTGAAATGGCAGAGATGACTTCTTTTACTAGGAAGTATAAGTTGTCTAATGTATCATTTTCATCTTGTATTGATACCATTTTTAGAAACTTTATTCTGAAAATGCAAAATTTAAAAATCAAGGTAGTTTAAACACATGCAGAATAATTGATGTGTATTTATTTGCACTTGTATAACAATTAGTGTATTACCAAAGACAACTGTTGTGATCATGCTTACTTGAATGTATTCTGACCTGATGTGCAATCTGGTTAAAGGTCAGGCTTTCTAAAGGAAACTAAACTCTTCTCTATACTGTGATTATTTCACCTTCCATAAGCAGCAATATTAACCAGACAGTTTCCAGCACTCCTCTAGCAGGCAAGGGACCCATTGTGCCTGCTTACCATTTCATTTTCTTTGTTATGCAAAGTCATGATACCTGTGAGGGATGACAAGCTGCTTTTGAGCATCTATAAACATTGAGGGGATGGGGGGGAAATGATTTTTGACTGAGAAGAGTCTAATGTTCAACTTCTCACCAGCAAGTTTATTCTAAAGATCTCTGAGAGGAATAATGAAGATAGTATTTAGCAAAAAGACTGAAAATTGTTGAGGGACAGATTCTTGTTGACCTCTGTTCTAATATTTCTTCTGAAATAGCAACAGTGTCTTTTTAATTAACAATTTAAATTTGTTATTTTTTTTTCTAGAACAGAAGAATCTATGTTATCTAAAGGACTTGTAAGTTGTCTTTTAAAATCAAATTTTCAGTGTTATAATGTATAATTTTTCAGTGTAAGGAATGGTAAACCTTTTGTTTCTCCTTCTGAGAGGTTCAAATGATTGTTCAGATAATAGTTCCAGATACATTTTGAGGCTTAACTGGGTATTCTCCAGTCTTACAAATATGTCTGTTTATTGATCTTTACACACCTGCATAAACATTTAAATTACCATTATCAGTCATAATTGCAGCTCTTAGGAACTTTCACTATCTGAATCAGTATTACAGTGAGGGCTGTTTGAGCCATGGTATGTTAAGTATATAGATTAATGGTTTATATATGTGCATAATATTGGCACTTTTTTTTCCTGCAGGATCTGTTTGAGAGCTGTTTATTGAGGATGGAAGATGGCAGCCTTCTCCATCAGTATTTAGAATTCAAAGATTTTGTTAATGTACCTCAGGTAATAAGAAGCAATGAATAGAAGTTGTCAAATTTTGATGACAGCTACACCTCTAGGTGTTTGAGGGAGGATGTACTACTGAACCTTTATACACATGTTGTTAAACTGAAAACTTCAGTGTCTTGCTATACAGAATTGATTGTCTTTTCTACCTGCTGCACCATGAAGTTACAGTAACAATTAAAATATAGTTAGTGTATGTGCAGGTCACTCAAGCAGGTGGGCACAGATCCTAGTTGAAAGATGGTGCTTGCTTGGTTTTGTCTCTTCCTTGCCAATGTGCTGCTTGACTACATTCCTATTTGGACCCAACAGTCCAGGAATAGTGTTCTTGTGTATCAGCCCTGACATTTTGACCACTGAAGCCAGAGTGAATTTCTCTGATGAGAATCTTCTCATAGTCATGCTGCCATTCTCCAGTGTGCTGTGGGGGTTTGGTTTGGTTTGGTTTGGTTTTTTTAGGTTTTTTTTTTTTATATTTTATTTTTTTGGTTAGTTTGTTTGGTTTAATGTCTTGAGTAGGTTTTGGTCAGTGAAATATAATGTAATAATCTGTATGTAATTGGAAATCATGTTTTCTCTCTCTGACTGCAGGATTTGGTGAAAATTATGACCCTTTGTCCCATAGAACATGTGGTATGTAATGTGATCTCCAGAATCAGTCAAGTGCTGAATTTATTTAATTAGCATTCATCTGATAACATCTCTGTTTTCTTTAGAGAAAGAAGAGTTTAAATATTTTGCAGTTGTTCATAGACAAGTTTGACACAGAGGGAAAATATACATTATTCAGGTATGCATCCAGGTTCCTGTGGATTGTGTAATACCAGCCTGAGTGGAGCTTAATCACATAGATACAAAGATTTCTGACAGTTTCTATCTGCTAAGCCACATTAATTTTATTGTGTTAGTGTTTTGATAAATAATGACCTTCAATTGCCTGACAGAAAACCAGTTGTCTAATGTAAACCAGGCTTAAAGGTTGCATAGTCATATCATTTTTCTGTGGTAAAACTCCCACTTGGTGCATAAAGCCATAATGTTTTGAGCTAACTGTGTAGGCAGCTTTGAAGAGATAATGTCTTTGTTTTGTTTTTTTGAAGGTGTTTACTGAAGACAAGCAACCACGCTGGTGTGGAAGGATATATTATTAAAAATATAAAGGATCAGGTTCATGTGTCACTAACGGTGAGGCTGTTCCCACTGAAAAACAAGTAACTGTCTCAAAATTTTATCAGGGTTCTGTTGAGAAATGTGTACACCTTAAACTTGGAGTGATGCATTAAAAAAAATCCACTTTGAAAAGGAACATAATATTGGGAAACGATATTAGAAATACTGCTTTGGCTTTTTCTGTGTTTGCTTTATACATTTTAATCTTACAATTGTATTTTTTTTTAATTCCACAATCTTACTGTGTTTTTCTAAGAAGTTATTGTTACCTCTTCTGTGCTTGAAGAGACATATTTTTTTCTTTAAATGGAACTACTCAGTATTCTGGTTTATCCCCACATTTCTTCATTTTTTGAGTATAATTCAAATACTACAGTGAGATAGAATTATTAATTTTTTCTTGGGTTTTAAGATGGCAGCATTTTATTAGGAGTCTTCATGTACAATGAAATCACCAGAACAGGGTGAGCTAGATCAAAGACATTTACATCTGATACCAGGAATTTGAGAAAGTTAATTCAAACTAAATGATTAACTCTTTTTCTTTTTTTTTTTTTTTTTTAACTGTTTTTCCAAACCAAATTTGATTCCCAAGGATGCTGCCTTCTGTCAAATAGGAGAGTATAGTAAATTTATGCATCTTTTATGCTGGCAAAATTATGTCAGACAGCAGTGAATTACTCATTAGATTACAGTCTGTCCTGTGCATTGAATCAGCAAGGGTGAAGAAAATGCTAATATTAAAACTGTTCCAAGAGGGTTTGCACTAAAATTGAATAGGTAAAAGTATGTTCTGAAGTTTCCTTAGTAATTAATTCTTTATTTTTTTTTTACTATGCAGCTTCAGAATTCTCTTACTACCTTTCATCCATGTAGTTTCCTGGCTGTCAAAAAGACAAACAATTTTAAAATTTCATCATATGACTTTGAATATTCTCAGTTTGTTGCAAAGAATTCTGCTGTAGACATAATGACAACAATTTCCTATTGCTGTCCGTTTATTTAGCTTAGTGTGCTAGTGCCTGGCTGGTCTTCATCTGGCCTGTTCCTTCGTCTGATCAGACTGAACAGAACTTCTCAGCCCTTCTCATCTCATTATCTAATCTCAGTTTTCCTCTCAGTCCATTTCTGCTTTTAGAAATATGCAAAGGAAAATTAAAACACCTGATGGTATTTAAAAAACTAACTGTGACACTGCTGATATGAAATGAGCAGGGTTCTGGTAAAGACAGTCATCATTCCATGCCTCCACATAAAACAAGAAAGTGCCTATTGCAATTAGCTAAATTTATTGTAAAGTAAGTTTTTTTTAAAACTTTGCTAAGTTTATGTAAACAGATATTAACTGTATTGGTGGTTATGTGTTGAAGAGGTGGAGAATCTGTTCTGAGGAAATTGAAAAGAACAGCTTGGTATGGAGGGACAAAGCAGGGAGGATTATGAAAAGGCTAGTTTGTGTACTTCAGTCACAGGTAGCAATCAGAAAACATTGCTACCAGTGTTCAGTTCTTTTTGTTTTCCTTTTCTGTTTTACCCAAATTATTGTTGAATTCTATGAGATCTAAATTTTGCACCAGGCTAAACTTCTTATCTTGTTGTTTTGGTTTTTTTTCAGAAGGAATATGACAACATTTGGTTTACAGGACATCACCTGATCTCCCTTCTAGATTTAGTACTTTCACTTCCAGAAGGTGCTGAGACAGATCTTCTGCAAAACTCAGACAGGTGAGTTGTAATCACAGGTAGAGGATTTTCTCCCTTTTTCATTATATGGGAAGACATAAAACTACCTTACTACAGTGAGGTGTGCTGTCATGTAATTAATGAGGTGACACCATCAGCATATTTAAATTTTTGGAACTAGAAATTATTTCAACCAGCTCTGCATAGAAGAATGTTACAATGCTATTACATTGATTTTTAACAATAAAAAGGGATTTCTTCCTCCACTCCATAGGGATATAAGGCTTCAGATGTGAAATTCCACAGTTAATTGGTGAAGCATTATTTGTTCAGGAGTGTATGGCTTGTCAGCTCTCTGCAGAAGCAGTTAGAGGAATGTTTTCTTATGTGATACAGGGGAATAACAATAATCAGATGCAACTTGGAGCACACAGCATTTTTGAGGCTGTTTCACAGATTGCTGCTGGGAATCCAGTATGTTATGAGTAGGACTACAGATCCACCCGAACAGGAAATAATTGCGTTAAGAAATATGAAAATAAGTGAAATGTCTCTGAAAATCTTCTTTGTAGGACAGATCATCTCTATGATGAGTAATGGTTGGGCTTGCCAGTCAGCAGGGTGATGGTGTCCAGATGGACACATACCTGCTTACAAAATCCAGAATATGATCTGCAATTTTACTGGGAAAGGCAATAAGCAATTTCTGCTAAAATGTATGGTAAAACTAAAGCGAAAAGCACATTCTAAAAAGCACTCAAAAAGTAAAAATTCAATACAATAATAAAGAAAACTGTCACACTAGTTTCAAATCAACTGGGTATCATCAGTGATAAGTATGATAAATTCTGTTATAAGGTTCTGGCTCTTCAGAAAACTCTCTCCCTTACAACCACCAGCCTTCTCCAGTGGGATGACAGTTTTAATTGTCCTTGCAGAATGTGAGCTGTGGTGTGCACATCCTGCACACTGGTGCTCTGGACTAAGCTACATTGCTTGAGAGATGAGCAGCTGGGTATTTTTAGGGTGTGTGGCTAATGGACAATTCAAGTTATCATCCCTACAACATATATCTGTGCTCTCAATTATAAATGGTATGCTTTTAATTCACAGGATTATGGCATCACTGAATCTGCTGAGATACTTAGTCATTAAGGATTGTGAAAGTGATAATCAAGTAAGTGCTACTGGATTTGAAAATTGTTGATCAGCTGAGTGCCAAGAGCTGAATTTACCTGAACACTTTTATCCTCAATTCAAAACACATGGGGTTGGCATTTTTCTTTGCAATGGTTAGTTGTCCAGAAGTGATGCTTTTGTTAAGACACTAGGAAGTGTGTGATGTGTTACTTTATTCTGCTGAAATTTGTTTATACTCCTACTGTTACTGTAACAGCTTTTACTCTGCCTGGTGACCTGTGACCTGTATCTGTAACATTAGAATAACACCACAAAATCACATACCCATCAAGTATTCCCCTGAGAAAATATCTGTTACTCTTGCTTATTAATTAGCTAGTATTCCTCAAGCCTCCAAGTGCATTTCTTTCTAATAATAATAACCACCTTTTTAGTTCAGGAGATCCATTTTATTCATCTTTAGCCAAAGTAATTTTTGTGAAATATGCTAAAAGTTGTTAGTATTATGATTTCTGATAAAGTATTCGAAAATCATACTTCACTAGTTTTTAGCTGTGCAAAACAGCATCCTACACTAGAGTAACTCTGCAGATGCACCATAGGTATGTGTTAAAAGCCTCTCTAGATACTGCATTAAAAAAATTCTTGTCTGTAAGATCCACCAGCTGAAGTTACAAAAGGCAAGGCCAGACCCATCCAATTTTCTGCTACATTGCTTTACTGGAAACAGCCTACAGTGTTTTATGCACAGAGGATACTTGCCAGCCTAAACTGCCCAGCACTGCAGTTACAGGCATGCCTCTTTGCCTTCAGTTCCTGTGTGTGGGTGTTTGAATGCAGGTATTTCAGAAATACTCTGCAATATATTTAAAAAATTGAAACTGCCTTTATGTATTTTACCTGTATAGTATTATGCCACTTCAGTTTAACGCAGGAGTTAGTTGTAGTTACTTAGTTGTAATTCCCACCTCTTCTCTCTTTTGTTTAGCTGTTTTCTGTCTGAAAAACTCAACAACATTTATTACACTTTGCATTTCTCTACCAGGATTTGTTGCTCAACTGCTGTGTGGCTATTCAGTGTAGTATTTTCTGATGGATCTGCTGGCTTTGTGTACAGTCACTCCTGGTCACCTGCAGTTGATTGAAATGTGTTCCTGGATGCTTGAGGGAAAACTTGTTTGAATTTCTCAAGTGGGTTGCTAGCAGATGGATTATAAGTGCTCTGACTTGGATTGTGTGGCTACAGCATTCAAGAGCCAGTAGAATTATTTGTGTTTAGTTTTCCAACTACCTTCCACTACCAAATAGCCACTTATTCTCAGAGTAAATGCAACTTTTGTTGACTCTTTCAAATCATATTCCAATCTTCTTCTTATTTATGTAATTCAGGAGCTTTTTATCCACTATATTGTGGAGTGAGCAAATATCACCTATCTCCTTAGTACTAAAATGTTTTGATTTTTGCATTAAAATATTTGTTTAAATTAGTGGCAGTTTAAAGAAAAAATTGCTTTTCAGTTTTAAAATACAGTAAAATCTTTCTTGACTTGATTAAGCAATATCATGGTCAAATGAATATTCTAACCAGTAGATAAGTATCCTAAGGTGTTTTCTTGTTCTCCCTCAGTTCCTTGATTTTCTTTATGGTTTGGAAGAATGGATTTCAGCATATCATCTCCTGTTTTCTAAAACACAGAAAAAATTTCTGATTGACTTTTAGACTACTTTGAGATCTAGGAATACAAGTTTTATAAGCGCCTAATGATGTTACTAGTCTAAGTAGAATAATGATATAACTTGCACTGATTGCCAAAACCATAATGAACATGAAAAGCAAAACTAGCTTTCAGTGGCTGCATTTCTAATTTACTATTTGTGTAATTAGTTAATAGTGATGTTTCTCGTATTTAAGGAGTGATTCTTATTTAAGTACTCCTTATGGTCCACTCACTGTCATGTAAATACATAACTTTGTAAGAAAAGTGAGAATTCCACTCTGAATCTTAATAAAAACTCCCACACAGTAGCACTCAGCTGCCCTAACTGCTGTCTCTAGTGCCTGGCATAGAGAATGTCCATACAGTGTGAGCAGAAAATAGCATCACATCTCCTGAAGGTTTCCCTTAAATTTAAGCCCTGTCAGTTCTTCTTGACTTCCTCCCTGTCCCCCTTCATACAGTGCAAGTGGGGCAGAAAGAAAATGCCTCCTTTCTTGTCAGTTCAGATATTCTGATTGCTGTGTAACAAGCATTTTCATTAATCAAGTTTAAAAATCAGTATTTTTCTGGAATGTTATTTCCTTTTTTTAGCTACATTGTGGTGGAAGTAATTACTGTTTTTCTTACTTGACCAGTTAACTTTGTGTCATTTAGTATTAAAATTTGGTGAATGTTCCACTGTTATCAGTGAACTCACTGTATTCAGCATTGAGAATTCTTATTTTTGTCATCCTTACTCTGCCCTTGGAGGACACTGCCTGAAGCAAGGAGTTGTATAAATGATTCCTATATCTAAGGACACAAAGGCTGCTTTGTATTTGTTTCCTTCAACAGCAGTTTTGTAACTACAAGCTTAAAAGGTGCCAAGGCCAGAGGAGTTCTCCTCTTGTGCTGTGTAGCCCTGAACAGCCTTTCTCTTGAGCATCAATTCCAGGTATCTCTTGCTTCCTGAGTGACACTATTGTAATCTCCTTCTTTCACCCATGCCAAACTGGGGAGAAGTTTATAGTCACTTTGGCTACTGTGACAATGGGGTAGTAGCATATCCAGTAACGTTCCTACAATACTTTTAAATGTAATGTAGACATTTGGGGAATGAATTTAAATATTTGTTCCTTTTCGTGGCTGAATTGTCTGAGAGGAACCTGTGACTGCTGTTTACTCACTGCAGAGATTCCAGCATGAGAGAGTGCCTAAGACCCTCCCCAACACAGCAACACCCTTTCAGCTTTGCTTAAAAGAATAAGCTGAAAATGTGCATTTCCACTGCTGTAGTTAACCAGCCTGCATACTGAATTCTCCCTTCCCTCCCCCCTTTTTTTATTTTTTGACTGCTTCATCCTCCAATTTTCAACAAATTATATAAGGGGGGGAGAGAGAGAGAGAGAGAGACTGAGAGAGAGAGAGAGAGAGGAGCTTAAATATCCATCAGGATGCTATTCATGCTGAAACGCATGAGTCGGAACTATTTTTGTCTCTTCCTCCCAGCGCAGAAGTGTATGTTATAAAGACTAGCCTAAAAACTTGTGCTCAAAACCAGCATTGCAATGCATCATGGAAACTGCAGTGTTAACTCTTCTGTTCTCTTTGAATAGACTGGTGTATGGACCACACTTGCCAAGATTGAGCAGAACTTTTTAAAACCACTGCGTGTAGGACTCAATATGTCCAGAGCACACTATGAAGCAGAAATAAAAAATAAGAAAGAAAACAGAAAAGGTTAGTTGGTTTTTTTCCTTGGCTTTATTCATATCTAGAAACTTTGGAAATCCTTTGGAAGCAAAGAATTGGTGAGTGCTGTATAGATCATGTTTTATTTAACTGTTGGCACTATTCCAAACTTCAGATAAGAATGCAGTAGTTCCTACACTTGATAGTAAAGATTTTCTTAACTGATCAGAAAAATCTGAATTTGTTTAGCTGTCATCTCACTTGTAAATCTTATGGAAATCTGACAGAACTGTCACATGAAGACATTCAAAGCTTGTTCTGCATTTACACTTCTGATTTTAATGTTAGACAGGAGCAACTGAGTCTCTCTGAGTACATAGCCCTTAGGTTTTATACCAGGTGTGGGGAGGTTAACAAGAGAAGAAATAATTCACACAGCAAACAGGTGCTCTCTAAAGCCTGAAGGACTACATTCTGTATTTGTTTTTTTAAATTTTTTTGTAGTCTGACACACGGAATCAGGTTCTGCTCTGGGTTAAGCAGACACATTGCACAGGGCACAAGAGCTGTAGCTGCTTTAGGCAATCTCTCTGTATGTCAGATCCTCTGTTCCTTGTGGTCTCCAGTAAAATTAAGACAGCCCAAGGAATTTGTGTCTTCTACTACAAATGTCAGTACAGCTTTTTGCCCCCAGTCTTAGGCTCTTCTGTTGTAAACTGTGTGAGTATGAGGTAAAGAAGAGTATTCTGTTTTGAAGGCAACCTGTGGATATTTTTCTAAAGGGAAACCTTCAAAATTACTCAAAGCTTTTTCTCTAAGTCCCTCTTACATTTCTCTAGCCTTTTACAAACCACAGAGATTTGAGACTGGGAGAGAACATCTAACTCATAACAGTAAATGGTTTAGCCTTCTTCCCCTGTGTATAATCTCTGTGAGCATTACATTAAATTTCAGATATGTGGTCTGAATACAAGAGGTTTTCCCCTTAGTTTTCAGACCTGTCCTTGTAGTTTAGCCTGCTGCAAGTAATCTGTCTGAAACAGAGAAGCCTGCAGCATTTTCTTAATAAAATAAGTATCTCATGTCTGGATTCATTAAGTCAAGCTAAAGAACCTCCTCCTATTTCTCTGGATGTGGAAATACTAAAAATATATCAAAAATGAACAGATAGTGGGTTTTTTTCCTTTCAAAGAGCATTTTGAGCTATATAAAATTGTTTTGAGTTGCAGATCTTGCCTTTTAGTAATGTAGACATTTGTGTTACAGATGTGTGGGGATAGCATCCAGCTCAAACTGCCTTCCTTCCCCTTAAGGTCCTGTGTTTGGTCAATCCCTAAGTTTGTGTTCTTGACAATTACTGGCTAGAAATGCTAATATATGAAATATTCTTTTCATTCTCAAAGTCATGTTGGTAATTTTCTTCTACAGAGGCACAGAGTTCTAACACAGTTTGTTCTGTAACCGTTGGTGGGGAAAAGCTGCCTGCCATGACTACTGGAATGCAGCTTCAGGTGAGTTTGCATTTCCTTCACAGTTACTCAGAAGTATTGACAGTGTGGAGGCAGAAGTACAGGTATAGTGGGTAAAAACAGTTGTAATAAAAAATAACACTAATCTGTTTTGTCATTTCAGGTTTTACACTCGGCCCTCTTCACATTCGATTTAATAGAAAGTGTTCTAGCTCGAGTAGAAGAACTCATTGAAGTGAAAAGCTGTAATGGATGAAAAGAGTTAGGTCAGCTGAAGTATCTGAATTAACATACTCCTTACAAAATCATTTGGACTAATAGTTGCAAAAGAGGCTGTCAGCCTTTAAAGAGGAGCAATGTAGAGTGGTCTCCAGAAGAACTGCAGATGCTGCTCATCATAAGTCTTGTTGCTGTTTCTTTTGCTACTGTTTTGTGTGGTTCACATTTATGGTCTAGTTAGTCCTCTTCAGAATTTGATGCTTTTTCTTAAGTTTAGAAACTAAAGCCAAGGTGGGAGTATGTTGCTCTGCTGTGGTGAGGATGTGTGGTTGGGCATTCATTTTTCAGTTAATTTTCTAGCTTTGTTAGCTAAGAGTTGCTGACTGGTGGTGCGAATTACAAGGATTTTTATAAACTGACTGGAGAACCATTAATTAAAAAACACTGTTTAAGCATAAGGTATTTTTATTAGCATGTTTTAATGTTGATAAACAAGCATCTATATTTACAAACAGGACTGTAAGGTATAGATAACAGTACAGAACATACTATCTATAGGATAGTAAAAACATTATGGCAAAGGCAACCAGGTTTAAAGGAAAAGTGCATCAAATTGGAGCTAAATACGATGTTAAAGCTTAGTAATACAACAGGTAACACTTCTGTGTTTAAAACACAGTGTAACATTTCCTACATATTCCTGCTTATGCTCGGGAATTTGGAATGATTTTGATCATCCATCTCATCCTTCAGTTTGATGATACAGTTTTCCTTAAGATATAGTAAATATTTTGGGAAATTATTTATAAAGAGATGAACTTAAAAGTTCAGAATCAAGCTAAAAATACAGATGGCTTTTCTGTAGTGCAGCTAAACCACTTTTTTCCCTGCTTAGAGTGCACATTTGTTACAAAGTATGCTATTTTTCACTGTGTAGTTATTTAATATGAATTTCATTCCAAATGCAGAAGTTGTACATAGTCTTTTGAAATATAACTATGTTTTTAAGAACATTCTATATATTTTTTAAACTGTAGCCACTCTATTTATGAATAAAAAACACAAATACCAAATTATTTACAGTGCAGTTGGTACTCCTGAAGCATCTTCCAAACAGGACTTCTTTCTATGATTTGGGCTTTTGTCATTGCCATTTTGTAACGAGTATCATCTGCTTGGGGCTTGGAAGTTACCTTAGAGAAAAGAAGCATATTATGAGTAGGACGCAGTAAGTGTTAGATAATAGAATATTCAACATCTTATTTTTCAAATAGTACGAGTGCAAAATTATTCATCAGTGAAATGTTTTCTGAAGTAGATATCAGGAACTATGTACACAGAGGTAATAGGATTTTACCAGGAGCTGGATATGGTAGCTTGGGTTTAGCTGGATGGTATTGCTCCCTTGGCCATGTATGTTAACCTGGGGTAAAAAACAAGTTGATTTTTTAGGCCCTATAACCAGTTAGGGATTGTCTGGCAAATGATGATCTCAGTAAACTGGCTTTGTACTGCACCACTAAGAGAATGTAATGGCAGCCACCAGATCTGTGAGATTTGGTGTCATTGCTTCTTACAGAGCTCTCCTGTTGAAGTTCAGTGTACACATTCTGAACAAGCAGTTTTTTTTAGCAGTAATCTCAAAAACTTCTAGGTAAATACTGGGAAGCACCTCTTTCAGGTAAAGAGACTGGGCAGCAGTAGATTCCATAAAAAGTTCAATGTTGTAGTAAATATTTTAAAACTTTTGCCATGTATTAAGTGGGATGAAGCTTACGCACATTTACAATGATGCATACACTGAAGAGGTTAATGCTTACTATTTTGCTATGTCCACTTCAGGAAAGGATAGAAGGCAAATTCCTATTTGATTCCTAGAAAGTCATTTAACCTGCTCTTTTTAGGCTTGCTACATAAGATGCTGCTAGTACGGATATAGTGATACCTAAGTTAGAATTTTCATGAAAAAATGTTCTTTAAAGAGGTTCAGTAAATAGACTTGTATGCATCAAATGTGTTGATGCATCCTGGGTATGTGGCAGATTCACACATAGATTATGCACAGTAAGATGTAGAAATAATACTCTAGTGTGTGCAGCATTAAAAACTCACAACTAAATACAGTTTTCAGATTGGCATTTTTTACTTTAAGTCATTACATATTTAGATCTCATGCTGGTTCTGCACTAGTAAATAAAGACATCCCAACTTAACAGTGGTAAATAAGAGTTAGATTAGCTTTTAAGTATTTAATTTCTCTTTGCAGATGCTATTAAGAGCTTTCAAGAGTTACCTTTCACAACAGTTTAAATACTCAGCTAAAGGATCAGAGTACCAGTCCTACTTCAGCATATTAATGGAGTGTGGTCAGTATAACCCAAAACGTTTCACTAAGGAAAACCAAATATTTTTATAGTTTTTGGGTTTTCCTGACTAATATACTAATATTTTTAAGTATATACAACCAGCCTTACCTTAGCCATAGTTAGCATTAATTTAACAGTTTCTGCAGGGTTATGAACTGGTATTACACGTAAGTTACTGCCCAGGAATCTGCACATCAAAATAAATTAAGGTTACTTTGAGTATTTAATCAAAAAGCATTCCCACATGATGTAAACAAGTATCTACTGTGCAATTTTACTTCCACAGAAGTCTGCTTTTCTCTTTAAAGGCAAGTGGAGAATTCATGCTGTTTGTACAGCCATCTGTCCCATTTCTGTACCACTTATTTAGGTGGGATTTGGAAGGGCTCATTTCTTTATCTAGGGCTCTTGGACAATCAATCAGCACTTCTTAAGCATGTGTACATTCAGAAAGAACTAAACCTTCTGTGATATTGTTGAAGACTATTCTTAGTGGCAGTAAAAAAACATTTGGGTTGTTTTTACGGCTTTGGAAGAACACAGGAAACTATCTAAAAACACTGCTAAAAATACTTCAGAATTGGAACTCAATCCTTGTAGTGTACTATAAATAAACCAATCTGTATTCCAGACACGATTAAGATAATGGGATAATTCCACTACTTTCATCTAAAGACTTGTTCACTGAAATACTTTAACCTAAAATCCATTCTCTTTCTATAAATAGCATTATTCATCTGCATTCATTCTGGAGAACAGAATCTGAGGATTTAAAATAGCATCACTTGTCATTCAGTGCAGCCATGAAGAGAGAGATCAAACCTTAGGCAAGCACAGAGCCTCTCCTTAAGACTTGCACCTTGTGTGTTGTAACAATGACAACCACGTCAGCATTGCTATTTTCTGTTGTACAGCTAAAGCAGGAGAGGGACCTAACAACAAAGAATGAGGAATTTTAACTCACCAAACATCTAATCCAAATGAAGTGCCCAGCTGCTCAGTTGCAGACTGCCCTGTGACCTCCCCTTGTGCCTACCACCTGTTCTTCCCTGCAATCTGTCTGGTGACTTGGACTCATTCACTTTAAGACCTCATGCTGGTTAGACATCTCATCTGAACTTGTCTGCCCTTGCTTCTAATTAGCAAAAATAAATGTTACAGGCACTGTCCTTCCCTAAGAGTCGGCACTCGTCCCTGTTGAGCTTTGCTAAAATCTGATGCAGGAACTGTAGTTTGCTTTACATTTAGGGATCAGGGAAATAAATTGATGCAATTTTGCTAACACTAGAATGGGCTGAGCAAAGCATGAATGAACAAAGTGCAACAAAACACCCCCCATGTAATTGTACTTACCCAGGTCCATGAAAATCTGCTTCTATAAATAGTTTTGCTTCCAATTACAGCAAGTCTAAGTTTAGTTTTTTTAATTTGATTAATGGACAGACGAGTGGCCATCTGAACACGTCTGGCCCTTTCCTCCAAGGTGTTTAAAACTTAACACACAGATCTCCTGAGGTTATTAGTGGGACACTCACTAAAGCTGTCAGGATACACTCTGCTTTTCTCCCACTTTCCCCATGCTATACACAACCCCACATAAAGTGTTTGTGGTGTTGAACAAGAATCCTATTGTTTTCTTGTTAATAATAACAACTTAAAAAGTCCCTCCCCAACTGCAGCAAAACCATAGATAAGCAGAAAGAAAACAGTAATAGAAGAGGACCTGAAAATACTAAGGGCTTTGTCTTTCAACAAATCCCACAGATGACTTGTTATTTGAAAGAACATGGCACACACTTCAACCCCACCAATGCAGAAGCTTGGTCAGTGATTTACATACAACAGCAGAACTCCAAGCTGTCAAGTAGTAAAATGCATTAAAAATGTAATTATGCTTTGCTAATGTCAATTTATTATTTCTTGCAATAACAAAACTATTTTCATTTTAATAAAGTTACTGACTGGCCACATGGAATGCAGTTGCAAAACATCACAGGTGTCAGTGATCAACACGTGCACAAAACCTGTTGTACGTAACCTCAAGGTGGATTGCACATTGGCATT